TAGTAAGGGAACAAAAAATATAAAATATTGAATCAAAAGAGACGGGGAATGAAAATGAAGAAACCTTTTTAATCTTTCTTTCCCTGCAGGAAGCAGCTGATCAGGTCATTGACATTTTCAGCCAATCAGAGCCTGTAATGCTCATAAGCGTGTGCACCAGCCCCTGCATGATAAATGTCAGTCCTGCTCGGACGCTGCAAATTTTACAAAATCTGGAGGACTCGGTGGGCGTGTCGGTTTCACTGACAATCACCATGGCTACCATGATGCTGCGTTTGGGTGACCTGCAGCAGTACACACAGCTGATGGAGAGACACGCTGAGGTCAGGATTTCACTTGTTTTCTTTGGTGTACTAACTGCTCAAGGTGCAGTGCAAGGTCAAAGTTTGCTACATGATATTGCTTCTTTTTTTTATAATTGTATGTCCATATTTTTTCTATATTATATACTTTTCCACACAAAATGGACCAAAATAAAGAAAGTTGGTCCCTTTCCATTCTGTGCGTAGATGCTGCTAGTGTACGGGTTTATTGAGGAGCCAAGGCTGCTTCTCTATGGTGGATGTGCAAACCAGCATAGACGTGTTTATCCCACAGCTTTAACCCGCCAGATGGCTGACTCTCAGCCTGGACTGCTGGTGGCTGCCATGGTGGCTTTACATGAGAACAGCAAAGTTAAGCTGGAAGAGGCCGATCACATATTCAAGGTACTATTGGCACCTGGAAGTGCAGTGCCTGGAGGATAGTATATCAACCCGCTGATTTGTATTACTGCCTTTCTACACTTGGATGTAAAATTAATTTCAGTTTTACAGAATCTGATGCTTTCTACACTTTTAGGAGCTACGTTGTGAAAACAGCCTGCAGGTCGATTTCTGGGAGGCGATGCTCATGGCATCATCAAATGACGCTGTCATTCAGGAGCTTCTGTTTCGGCTGGCTTCTGTCTACATTGACCGTCTAACAAATACAAAGTCAGAAAAGCACACGGCTCCAAAGCGCAAGTCACTGAAAAGTGCTGATGACTTGGTACGGCTACTTGGTGGTCTCTGTTTAGTAACCCCCCACCAATTCTTTTAATTTGTTCAATAACCAGATCTTAAAGACACGAGTTTCATCCAATCTGCTGCTCCCATGTTTGTGTCTGTTCCAGATCAACTCGTGCTCTCATTACGGTGCTTTGTATCCATGGCTCATTCTTCTAAGTCCAACAGACATTACTAGTTCCCAACACCTGGAGGCGCTGCACAAACTGCAGGTATTTTCTAAAGTCTGCTTTGACTGCATGGATTCAATACAGTTAAGTCCATAAATATTTAGACAGAGACAACTTTTTTTCTAATTTTGCTTCTATGTTACAACAATATATATTTAAATGAAACAACTCAGATGCAGCTGGAGTGCAGACTCTCAGCTTTAATTCAGTGGGTTGAACAAAAAGATTGTATAAAAATGTGAGGAACTAAAGCGTTTTTTAACACAATCCCTTCATTTCAGGTGCTCAAAGGTTACTGAAAGTAAAATGTTAATTTCTAATACTTGGTTGAAAACCTTTTTAAACCCCTTTGCTGTCAATGACAGTCTTGAATTCATGGACTTCACCAGATGCTGGGTTTCCTCCTTTTTAATGCTCTTCCAGGCCTTCCCTGCAGCTGCTGTTTGTTTGTGGGATTTCTGTCCCAAGTTTAGTCTTCAAGAAGTAAAATGCATGCTCACTTGGGTTAAGATGACTGACTTTTCCATTCAAGAATATTCCACTTCTTTGCTTTAATGAACTCCTGGGTTGCTTTGGCTGTATTTTTTTGGGCTATTGTCCATCTGTATTACGAAACACGGCGCAGTCA